AGGTTGCGTAGTTTCTCAATCTATCGGATTAGTATTAGTGTTACCTAAAGATATAATATACAAATTTAGTTTGTGTGTACTGTTTGTGTACTGTCAAATTAATCAGTAGTTAAATAACAATAGCATTGATAAGGTGCATATTTTCATTTACTATTTTTGTAGCTACTTACAAAGTTTGTGAGTAATAATTATAAAACAAGCAATTAACTTAAGAAAAATAAACCAATACTGAAAACTGTATTTCAAAAAGGGCATTACAGAATACAATATAAGGGGAATATCGTTTTGAAATTTAAAACTTGAAAATTATTCAAATCATTTAACGCTAAGTCTGTTATGGTATAATATAGTTGAAATCTTTATTGTTCACTAGTATTTACTTGTTAATTAGAAGTACTGTTCAAGGTGGGTTTGATAGAAGGAATGATATTTTAAAGCAAACAAATATAGTCTATTTATGCTAAACTTAGGAGACTTTTTGATGATAAAGCTTGGAGCAGACTAAGGAGTGAAAGATTAGAATTATTTTTGACTTCATTGTTCATCCCTGCTTGAACCGCAAACGGAATTGGATGGCAGAGGACGTGAAAAACCTCTACATATAAGTTTGATTTAACTACATAGAACAGATGGCATTCAGAAAGTTACTAACAGACCTACTGATTCCTTAAGTTTTTAGAAAAACGCTAAGATAAGTAATGTATTCGACTATTGATCAGTTAGATTAGAGAACGAAAGAATAAGTCGATGTCAAGATTTTTCACAATTGATTTATCCAGTCACCGACGCAACGTCTCAAACAATGAAGCTGGTAGTTTGGGATTCAATCGGTTATGGAACACTAGTTCTGTCAAAATGTTAGTTACATATTGATGAAACCAAGTTCCAGGGTTTCCTGTCGACTACCTTCAACCACATAATGCTTAATTTATTACACTTATTACAATTCACAATGATCTGTTTCATACTGTAAGGATTGCTCGTTGGCAAAATCAAGGAAGCCTCAAGAAGCTCAGAAAGAGCCGAAGACATTCCATCTAATCACCGCTAGAGTAACATTTTAGAATTTCGACGTGCAGCTTCCTTATTGGATGAATAAGAAGAGCCCCCTATGGGCCTATTGGCTGTCCAAAATGATGATTTACTTTCAGCCAAAAAAATATATATACTTGAGATTTGTGTACTATATTTGACACTGTGTTGGGAATTACATTCTTACTTACTAGTATTCTATCTTCTCTCTTGTGACGTTGCGGTTTCAATCGTTTAAGTAGTCTAGTTGTAGCAAGTATTAATGATCTAGATACTGTAGTGAACAGAACACGAGTGGGGACAAACGAAAGAATTTGACACAAAAATTACAGACTGTCTCACTGAAATCTGATAACCATACAGTAAATAATTTGCAAAATAACAAACAATTGTGTCAACCTTGACTGTTCCTTCTGCGAATATCAGTCCATCTTCTCTAATTTCATTGTTCATGCATTTTCAAAACGATTGCGCTTCGTTCCTGTTCTTTCCTTATCGATCTTCTGCCTAAATGCATTCTATGTCTGACCATCACCATATACTACTTATGTGGATATAAGTAAACCACACTACAATATAACACATACCATCATAAATGTTTATTTCTATATTATATTAATAAACAAATTGTATTATTATTTTCATAGTTGAAATCATGAGTCGATGGAAGCTAAACTACCAGGGAAAACCTGGAAGCACTGGACGGCCATTTCGTCCTGTTATGGGACTCCTCAGCAGTGCACATCCACGATCCTGCCTCGCGAGCGAGATTCGAACCCGGGACCTACCGTTGGATGCCGGCTCAGTGGTTTAGAGGTTAAGTGCTCTGGCGCGACACTTGTAGGACCTGGGTTTGAATCTCGCTCGCGATGCGGGATCGTGGATGCGCATTGCTGAGGAGTCGCATAACAGGACGAAACGGCCATCCAGTGCTTCCAGGTTTTCCCTGGTAGTTTAGCTTCAATCGACTCATGATTTCAACCATGAAAATACTGAAATCTCCACAAAACCCCTTCGTATTATTATATTTATTTATTTACTGTATTTTTGTTAATTCAAAGCACCAAAATATACTAAATTTAGTAACAACATTCCTTATTCATAAATCCCTTTGTTTGATTATTAAAAACAAAATTTTGTTTATAAAATAACAAAAATAACAAAAGTTCAATGTACTTTATTGTTAAGAACATTAGAATTATGCTAAAAAGGGAATAACTTTACTTGCAAACATTCAGATCTATTGTTAAACACAATGATAGGCAGGAGGAATTTACCATGTATTTATTGAAGATGTATATTTCACCTTATTTGAGACGATATTATCTTCATTTTCCTTGAAATAGATGTTGTGATAATCAAACATTCATTATCTTCCTGGACAACAACATTAACACATATGTCAGGTGATTATAATTTACTTGAATGTCTACATTAAATGACTGATGACTTGTCTTATCGACATTGATGTTAGCTGATTGTTATTGATGTTTGTCCTGATTACTTTTCAGAAGAACAACTACCCAGACAATTTCATCAAAAAATATCATTGAAAATCATCAATAAAGACGAAATCAAATGTGAAAATAAATAAACCAATCAACCTACTATATATAAAGGATACATCAGAAATTACAATATAATAGAGGCTAGTTAAAATAGAGGTATAGTATAAACCATCAAAGTTATGCTAATCTTATGCAAACCAAAGGATAAAATGCTATAAGAAGAAAAACATGAACTAGAGCACAAATTATTCCAAATACATAAAACACTTAATTTCACAAAATGATCACCCTTCTCAACTTCGTCTACAAAAACAAGTGAACGAGTGTGGACACACTTTTGACAGGGAAAATGTTCAAAGTTTGGACAGAGTATGATAAAAGCCAAAGAACTTTTATGCTTAATACTCAAGTCAAATAGTAATCAGTAAACACTTTGGAACCGATCCAATTTACCAGCCAGTGAGAAAAACTATATAATCAAGAATCAGGCCAAAGGGGAAGTCAATCAAAATAAATCTGCAAATAATGCTAAAGCAAACGTCGACAACAACCAGTTGTAACCAATGTTGACATATTAGGTTGTTTGGTGTAGAAATTAAAGTAGATTATCCCCACCTGAAGTTTTTGTTGATCATACTGTCCAGAAGAAAAATGGGGGAATCATGGTTACACAATTCAGCTAAAAGAGAAACTCTACCGAGAATAAAGTGTATGTTATGGACAATTTTCACTTTAAAATAAAGATCTTAACTCCAATAGACTAATGCAGATAAATAATTGTCAGTTATTTTTAATGAAAACAATTGGTTAAACCTACCTGACGAGAGAAGAATTTGTTTTTAGATCAACGTGGCAAATTGTCACTCAAAACCTGTTTAAGGATAACGTTAATGAAATGTTTCTTAAGTAGCTCATATCGTGCGGTTGTAAAAATCGTTTATTTTATTATCGTGGGAAGATTTATGGACATTGCAGAATTTTCACAGTTTAAATCATGAACTTATTTTAGCTTAACCCCCATTATAAACCTGGATGCATTGAACAGCCTTTTCGTTCCACTATGGAACTCTTGAACAGTGCGCATTCAAAGTTTTGCGCGCGAGAATAGAACCTAGAACTTCCTATCTTATTTAGGAGCACCTAACCTTCAGACCGCTGAACTTCCTTCGATTCTTCACTTGTTTAACTACACTGGTTACAATCTTTTGAAAAACAGTATCATTGATTTTACAAGGAAGTGAATTTATGAGTTCCGAGTTTTCTCTATCTGGCGTATTTTCACGATAAGAAAGCTACCGATTGAACGAAATTAATATAAATCACCCAAGCGAATTATGTCAGTTTATTTAACTGTTCACATGAAAATATGTAACATGCAACCCTCCAACCATGACGGAGATTAGAAAGCCAAATTGTACAAAATAATAAAAGATTGAAATATTTAACATTCTCACGGTTTGACAATGGATTTCTATCTTACTTAACGTATTTAAATTTGATTATAAGCGTTTTACAGTAGTTGTGATTTTTAATATGCTTTTGTTTGTTCATGGCTATCATCTTAAGATATTAGTTTAAGCCTAGTTCTAAAATTTGGGCAGTTAATAAATAATGTTTATATAGAATAGATAGAATGTGGCTAATAGGGAAATCCAAGATGCCCGTTTCGTCTCATTGAGGACTCGTCAGTTGGATTTACTTGCATCCAAGATCATGTTCACCATGGGACTTAAAAACAATCCCTTTTCCCCCCAAAGGCTATCGCATTATCCACCTAAATACTGAATTCAGTCATTAACACACTTGCGCAATGGGTATGAATTCTTTATAAATTTATGACATAATAGCTATCCCGCGGTAATGCACACAGGATGCACATAGACCAAATAAGACTGGTCACAACAATGATTTATCATTGTTATAATGAGACACAAAGCGTTTTCAGTAATAACAATATCAGTAGAAGTTCTGTTTATTCGACTTCCTAGTAATTTTCATCATTTTTTTTCAATAACTTATGACGTTAAATTAAATCTGAAAAGATTTCAATCTATGGAGAATTCATGATATAATCGACAAATGAAAATATCCTCATATGTTTCTACGTATTGAGACGTATTATTTACTTTATGGATAGGTATTATATATATATACCTGTTACCCCTCATAGAGGAGTATAGGCCGCTTACCAACATTCTCCATCCAAATCTATCCTAGGAAGTCCTTTCCAGATCTTTCCAATTGTAATTCATCCTTTTCATATCAGCTTCCGTTTCCCTATATATTTTGTTCTTTGGCCTTCCTCTTTTCCGCTTTCCATTAAGATTCTCAGTTAGGGCTTGCCTCGTGATGCAGTTTAAAGATTTCCTCAGTGTATGTCCTATCCACTTCCAACGTCTATTCCTAATATTTTACATAGTTATTTTCAAATATTAGTTACATTTAGAATCATTTTAATTTATGGTAAATAAAGAAAAGATTTCTAGAATTTATTGTTATACTCAATTATTTACTGAAGAAAAATAATAGTTAACTGATATCCATAAAAAAATGTTCACTGAAGTGACATTTTACTTCCATAAGATTATCAATTACTTACCTACGCCTGTTACTCCCAATGGAGCATAGGCCAACGACCAGCATTCTCCAACCCAATCTGTCCTGGGCCTTCCTTTCTAATTCTTTCCAGTTTTTGTTCATTCTTCTTATGTCTGTCTCCGTTTCTTGGCGTAATGTGTTCTTTGGTCTTTCTCTTCTCCTTTGACCTTCAGGATTCCATGTGAGGGCTTGTCTTGTGACATATTTGGGTGACTTCTTCAATGTATGTTCTGTCTACTTCCAATGCTTCTTCCTGTTTTCTTCCTCCGATGAAATCTGGTTTGTTCTCTCCCACAGTAACGTGTTGCTGATAGTGTCTCTCCAACGAATCCACAGTATTTGCATAGACAACTTTTGATAAACACCTGCATCTTCTGGATGGTGGCCTTCGTTGTTCTCCAGGTTTCCACACCATACATTAGAATTGTCTTGAAATTTGTATTGAAAATTCTGATCCTGGTGTTGGTTGGCAGTTATTTTGAGTTCCAGATTTCTTTTAATCGTAGATATACTGCTCTTGCTTTGCCGATCTGCGCCTTCACATCTGCATCAGATCCACCATGTTCATCGATGATGGTGTCCAGGTACGCCGTAGTGTCAAATGATTTCTCGTAGTCAATATTATTATTAGTTAACTGTCTCAGTGTGGAACAGATATTGTTCTACAGCTTGTATTTAACCTGATGATGATTTTTGAATGAATTCTTTAATGATTAATTCATAAACAATGAGATTAAACTTGTCAATTACATTGGTTATTTGCATACATTTTAAGAGTGAACATTATTTTACACATTAAAAACTCAGAATCTCTAACTTCTATTTTTGTCAACTAGCCCAACTCTATGTATGTGAAATATCCATAATATCAAGACTGTAAAGTATAATGAAAATAAATTCAGTGACTAGAGATTTTAGACTTAGGTTGATATGGTCCAGAATCGATCATAATTGCACAAAACTATTAATTTTCATTTTTTGTCAAGGTTATAATCTGTAGAACTCTTTCATATCTTTTCTCACAGTACCACATTCTTAATATTTCTGTCTTCCCTATCATTATTTCCATAACACCACTACGATTCTTTCGCTATTCATCTTGTTAATTTCCATCCATTATGGTTTTGCAGGTTTTGGCAACTTCAGCCGATATACATTTCTGTCATGTTCTATGTTGATTCTAACTAACTAACCTCACAAGGCGAATTCGTGGATGCGCACTGCTGAGTAGTCCCACAATAAGACGAAACGGCCGTCCAGTACTTCTAGGTTTTCCATGGTGGTCTAGCTTCAAGTGATTCACGCTTTCAACTATGAAAATACTAAATCTCCACAAAAAAACCCTTCTGATAATAATTAAAATAGATAACCACATATTGAATTGATTTAGCAACAGCATATTTTAAATATGTCAACAATTAGTCAAGAAATCATTTCATAAACTTATGATCTATTCTAACTATTCAATACATAAAGATCCAAATTAACTTTTCCTAATTATGAATATTCTTTAAAAGCTGAACTTTTGTTTTTAGTTGTAGTTAAATTAATGAAATCTAATTAGTAACTTCTTCCATTGATATCATAACCAAGGTCAACATCTACCTCAAATAATAAAATGAAATAACAACAACCTAAAAATATGAAAAAGTATTTATTGATTACTCCATTGGTATCTCTATGTATTTGACTTTTATTCTAAGTAAATTAATAATTATACATGTGCAAATGAGTGCTTAAAAAAACAACATTTAGATTTAGTTTAATAAATGTGGATGAACTTGACAAAAACTAATTTTTTTTTTATGTGTAACACCTAAACAACTAACTTTACATGTATATGTTTGTAATAGTCATGCGATGTTGTGATTGTATGGCTGACAGTAAACAGAATCCGTTATAAAAGTACTTCACTGAATAAATTCTCTGTATTCTGGGTATCATTAAGTAAAAGGTATGTTATTAGTTTTGAACACTTGATTTTTATAGCATATCTTTTGATCCTACGATTAGTTTAGAATAATTTCTAATGCTTTACTATTATTGTTTTATTTGAACACATAAATATTGGTACTAGGGGGCACCAGATATATTTGTGTGACGGCTGTGATACTACCCAGGTGCCGAAACTGAAGCAATTGGTTTTCTTAGGGGGCCACCCCCCGAGCCTTTGACCTGAAGATCTGATCCACAAGACAGTGGAGCATCGTAAGGAGATGCAGTCCCATGGTAGCCGGTGACCAACGATTGATTCATACACCATTTGTTCCCTCAGGGCATTGGAGCCCATGTACACCATTGGTTTCCAACTCCCATAGATGGACACTCCATATCCACCAACCCGATTATAGGGCCTGACATTCGCTTTTCATCCTCTCAATTTCGTAAACAACACCTGTTGCACGATAAGGCAGTGAGTAGGACTTCCCTTGCAGAGGCTATATACACGTGGCTGTGAGAGAGCATTTCGAGAGAGTAGGCAGGCCCTCCTCACTCTCGGCCGTACCAGGGCATTTGGGAGCAATTTCTAATACCATTAATCACTGAAATGTTTACAATAATTTACTCCATTTGCTTACTTTAACCATGAGAATAAAATATATATTTAGGGTGAATATTTCATTTCATTGAAATGGTTTTGTAGAGGGTGGTTCTAATGTTTATTAAGTATTTATCACACGTCGATGTTAGTTGATGTAAAGTTGAAAACCACGGAACAGTAAACAGTCGTTTCATTTTAGTATGTAACTCTTCATCAGTGCACCCTGATGACCCTTCCGGAAGTCGAACCCAAAATGATATTTTTAATCTATTAAATATCTTTTAAGTCTATCGAAATGTAAAACAAGTTTATGAAAATTGATTTGATCCATTCAAGTATCAGATCACACAATGATTAGCAAATAATATTTTCAACATAATGATTAGTAATTTATGTCTAAATATGGTACGCAATAAATTTCAATGAAATTTTCCAATAAGAGAGCTGCTAAAAATGAAATTCATACAGCACGTTTCTCCTGATTTACTACTCATCAGTTGGATGCGCCTGCTTCATAGTGTCGATGTTCATATTGAATCACAAACAGCGAAAAAAATATAAATCCTCACAAATAAAATTCATACTTATGGCATGAGTTAGGGAATATCAGCAGGTCAATGTATAACACGGTAATGTTTGAAATAAAAGAAACAGAGTCAAATTCTTAACAGGTTATCAGCATTTGAATATAAGTACGTTCAACTGATGAGCCCCCTATGGAACGAAACACGCCTCCTGGATTCCAATGCTGGTGACTATTCAACATTTCAAAAATTGCGACCAAATGACAGTAATGATGCAATCGGTTTAGGATGCCAAAAGGGATTGACTTATTGCAGTCCTAAACATCAATAGTGGTAGCATGCAAATCTATGGAAACGTAACAAGTAAGAGTTTGAACTGCCTTTTTTAGAAAAATATCCAACGCCGATGATAATACATACAACGATTTGCTTCCACCGGTATTTTATAAGAATTTATTCAACTTGAAAAAAAAATTAGGTGATGAATAGTGGCTAGCAGTGGAATCCAGGACGCGCGTTTCGTCCTATTTGGGACTCGTCAGCTGGATGTACCTGCATCTCAGACTTCATGTTCACTGTGGGACTCGAACCCAGTATCTTTCGCTTCAAACACCATCGCGTTATCCACTCGGCCACTGAGTCCTGATGGCCACTTGCTCGTGCGATGGGGTGAAGTTTAGATTCACTTAGTATGTTTGTTTGAATCTTCCCATCGATGTTTTAGGACTGCAACTGGTCAGTCTTTAATTGGCATATGTGCATACTGCGCGTATTGCCTCGATATAGCCTTAATGCACAAGCATTGTAAACAAAGATGGATTGGATGGATAGGACGAAACGCGCGTTCTGGATTCCACTGCTAGCCACTATCTATCTTTGCTTACAATGCTTATGAATCAAGGTTATATCGAGACAATACGCACAGTATGCACATATGCCAATTAGAGACTGACCAGTTGCAGTCCTAACACATCGATAAGAAGATTCAAACAAACAATACTAAATGAATTTAAAAAATTAGATGGTTTCTAAGTTTGATATCTGATGATAAAGCACGACAATCACATTTAAGTGTCGATGAAAACGTAAAAATAATTGATAAATTGATTTCTTATTAACATTAATTTATCTATTTTTTAATGTTTGTGTTATAACCATTTCCACATACATACCTTTACCATACTGAAATATATAGATGAGATAAATGCCTGAACATGAGACCAGTATTTCTCTTATTAGTATCAACTCATAAGATTTAATTCATTCGGTTGACTAAAACCGCTTATTGAATTCATATTCGGTTGATCTATATATCGGTTTAACAACAAAATTGATGTTAGCTGGACTACCGATGAGAACGTATAAAAAGCAGACAACAGTATTGGGCATCTAGGTAACACCCACCAGGTGTAAAACGAAAAACATCCAGACTTTGTGGCAATCCCTTAACTATCAGACCACTGAGTTGAAATTCATTGGTTTATATTTCTAACTTCATTTACTTTACGAAATTAAGCTATCAACAATCATTACTAATAGTAATATTTGTCTCATTCTCAAAATACTTAAAGTCAATTGATCATGGCTTTTCACCAAAACTCCCTTGAAGTTAGTTATTAATTCACACTTACTGATTATATATCTCAAATAATTAGCTTCTCATATTATTACCTTAATACATATAGTGAAAACATATTAAATGTTTTTCTTTCCGTTCGAATTTAGAGAGGTGTCCGTTCATATGGCTAAAATAGGAAAAGGAATTCAGATTCCTTTATCATGGGTCCCTGATAGGAATGGAAATGTCCCTCATAATGCTATCAGTGTTACTAATGGTATCTATGTGGCTCGTTGTCAACACGATCGTCAATGGATTCCTGGGAAAGCTGCAAGTGGACATGATGCAGCTTATTATCCATATGGTGGTGAAGAAAAGAATACAAAAGAATATGAAGTCCTGTGTGATACCTCATTTTCAGGACATCAAGGGTATATTTTATCATTTTCTGGTATAAGTTATTGTGTCACAATGCAAAATGAAATATTTTCTGATGGACAGGTTTCAAGAAAAGTGGTCTCAAAGTAACATATACATTGAGAAGTATTGAATTTCCTTAATAATTGTGTACACATGGGATTTATGTTATTCAGTGATGTTCTTAACTTTCTATTTTGACTGATCTAACTGGACGTGCAGTTCTATAGAAATATATCAGATTTCAGTTTTATCGATGTTTGCTGATATTCCAATATTGGCTTGTTTATAATATATATATTTTTGTAATATTCCAATGAGTAGAAAATTTGTATTTCTGACGTTTCGTGACTTGATGTAAGCCACTTCTTCAGATAAAAGAAATGGCTTACATCAAGTCACGAAACGTCAGAAATACAAATTTTCCACTCATTAGAATATAGCAAAAATATATTTACCGCTAACTTTCTACCTAATGCTCAGTTTATTTGAAACTATCAAGTTCAACCTTGACATTGATACCTAGTTTGTTGTAAAGTGTAGTTTAGTTGTTTGCTTATGAACTGGTTCAGTGAGTTAACTACGCTACATAATCTTTTCTTGTTCAATGTTCAAGTATTTTTGAGAGTCTATCTATATAAACTCATAATTTGCATCACATAATATGTAAGTTATATAGACAAAACTGGAGATTAGTTGTTTGAACAATGTATATTTTAAAAGCATTGTATATGCCACATATTTTATGTTTGATTTCAAACGTGTTTACCATAAGCTGGTAGAACCTTGTTATACTTTTAAAAGCGAATAACCAATTCAGTTAAGTATAGTGGGAAACATAAGCAAATAGCTTGTTTAAATGCCTTAGGAATGCGTTGTGACGTTCTGCAATATGTATTATCTAGAACAATCTATTGAGCGATTTATTAAATTTTGTAAATATGACTAAATGATAATCAGACTGAAATAGCAGCAAATGTTTCCTCCCGTAAATATTTCTATATTTTACGATGGTTGATAGAGTAACTTTATTGGAATGTATTATTTCAGTAATATACTTCGAAGACTAAAATTAATGAATCGATCAAACATCATGTAGATAAAACACCTAATATTCACCCTCTAGTAGATTTGCATACAACCCAGTGGTACATTTACTTGGCTTGATCTAGTGTGTTGTAAAGCTTGGATATCAAATATGTGAATGAAAGTAGAATATGAGTAAATGTGATTCAGCATACATGTAGATTCCAATTAGACTTAATGATGAAAGTAATCCATAACAATTAGCAATAAATCAAGCATGGAATTATGACAATCTATCAAATGATATTGGAAATTGATAGATTAAGGTTTCAGATGAGTTATTTTCATTATAATATCTGCGTATTAGAAATATTAGAAAGTTTCTCCAATCATTTTAATTTCATAAATAATATCCATAATAGATCTGAAACTAACTATGCAAATGATAATATTTAAATTTATATATTACTAATGGTGATCCATTATATGTCATTTCTCATATCATATTTAACTTCTATTTTAAGTGTCCCCATGATGCTTTTTATTCACACATGAATTACATGTACTTTTAAACCACAAATAGTTACAAATGTATATTATTGGTTGGGAACAAATGTACGTTTAACTTTGAAATCGTTGAAAAGATTTGTAGCTCAGGTGGATGATTTTGATGGAGTTTTGTTCTCTGAGCACGAACTTCTACCCGAAGTTTGTGCTGATGATGTAGTTCAAAAGGACGATGAAAGCTCTACGACCAAACCATCCATCTCAGACAACAAAACACCATCAAAACGTTTAACTTTGTAATAGAAAAATATTTCAGATTTTGTTGTCTACAATTAAATTAATACATTTCAAAGATAAACACATATAAATATATATATTCTTTAGGTATCATTACCAAGATTTGACTTGATAATTTCGAATAAATTGTGCATTGGGTAGATTGTTATAGATAAAAATTATATCAGAAGGGTTTTGTGGATATTATAGTGATTTTAATAGTTGAGGTCATTAGTCATTTGAAGCCAGACCACCATGGAAAACCTGAAAGCAATGGACGGTCGTTTCGTCCCATTGCGGGACTCCTCAGCAGTGCTCATCCACGATCCCACCTCGCGAGATTCGAATCCAGGACTTATCAGTCCTGCGCGCGAGCATTTAACCTCTAGACCACTTAGCCGACATCTAACGGTGATAATGTCTAACTTCGATCGGTCCAGGAATTTGAGCGACACATCAACTATTATCTTCAGTGAGTTACTATCTCACAACAGACCTGACTGAACTCCACTGCTTCTCACTAGAACTCTAGGAAATACTTCTTGAAGCCTGCCACTGGTGAAAGTCGTGGATGCGCACTGCTGAGGAGTCCCATAATAGAACAAAACGGTGCTTCCAGGTTTTCCATGGTAGTTTAGCTTCAATTGACTCATGATCTCAACTATGAAAAATAACATATTTGTAAGCAGAGATGGATAGTGGCTAGAAGTGGAATCCAGGACGCGCGTTTCGTCCTATTTGGGACTCGTCAGCTGGATGTACCTGCATCTCAGACTTCATGTTCACTGTGGGACTCGAATCCAGTACCCTCGCTCCAAACGCCATCGCGTTATCCACTCGGCCACTGAGTCCTGATGGCCACTTGTTCGTGCGATGGGGTGAAGTTTAAATTCAACTTAGTATTGTTTGTTTGGACGTATTTATAATATCCCAATGAGTAGAAAAATTAGATTTTCTGACTTTACGTGACTCAGTGTAAGCGACTTGTGTCCTTTGTACTATTTAAACTTGGATTAATTTTAATTTGTTTATTTATTCTCTAAAGAAGTGTTTTATACTGAGTCATGAAACGTCAGGAATTCTAATTTTTTCACTCGTTGGGATATTATAAATATATTATTTTATAACATGTATATTTGTTCAATCTGTTATTTCTGAAGAGCCTTCCAAATCAGTATTTCTTTTATTGTTTTCTTTTTCTCAGTAATTGATTGATTATTTAATTCAATTCGGTTTAGATAAATGAAAAAATAAATACTTTGTTGATTATTCTCATTCTGTACAGATATGAATGGGTACAAGCATCATGTGGTAATGTGCCAAAAAATGCAATCATTGGTGGCATGTCAGGTAATGATCCACTATACATAGCCAAATCTAAAATTAATGGAGAAACATGTGTTGGAAAGGTGAGTAGACCTAACCACTTGTGTTATATACTGTTTTCTCTGATTAGATAAACTATTTAAACAAGACATTTAGTGAATTCTCTTATGCTAATGATCTGTGTGGTCAGAATAATTTCAGATACGTTGTACACTGAATGGTTACTATCTAGAATGAACGGCTTTATATAAAATGAAAAATATATTATTTTATAGCTGACTTACCAGTTCAAATGTCACATACCACACCAGAAATTATCACATTTGCATATCTTTACTAAACGTTTCACAATCCCATGTTCTGAGTGTTATGTTTTGAATTTCTATGTTGAACATTTCAAACAATTGTATCACACTGTCTACCATTGATTGGTATGTTGAAAATAAAAAAGCTATTTGAAACTATGAAGTTCATGAACAGTGATGAAACTCAAATTCGTACCATGGTGTTGTGGAGAATATTGAATTCTATAGTTTACATTACTAAATGATCTTAGTTGGATAACCAGTGAAAAGTAGGGGACATTGGACAGCTCTCTTGTCCTAGTATGAAACATTTCATCAGAGGGGATTCAGATCACCACTAAGGATCGAAACAGGACATTTCGGTTTCTTGGTAAACACCTGGTCTTTACACTGAGAGTAGGAAGTCAATGCTTTATATGGTTAACTCTAAATGATGTTTGATTCACTTATGTCATCACTGGACCCTACCGGTCATGGGTTTTCAATACAACTACGTGACTTTCACCACGAATCTGATCACAAGTAAGCACATACTGGTTCTTATAACACGGTGTTGTGAGGCTTGTGAAATTTTATAGTTTGCATCAAGTGCATAGGGTAAGGGATAAATATCATTGGAAGATGGTTGTGAAAGATTAACGAATTGAGTGAAGTTGGGAATATACTGCATTGGCTACCAGTTCAATGGCTTATAGGTTAAGCGCTGATGGTATCCGAGGTGCATACTACCGAGGAGTCCCATTCTAGGAAGAAATAATGCTTCACTGCTCCCTTCTTTGTCACAGGTCAGTCAATAATGTATTCAACTCAAATTATTGTGTTTATTTATTTCTAATATGAATAAAATATTGTCTACTTATTTGATCGTAATTGTTTACATCATTTAGGTACATCATGGCCATGAATGTGCATATTTACCATGCGGTGGTCAAGAACACTCAGTGAAAGATTATGAGGTTTTAGTTTGGAAAAAGCGAAATTAATTTTCTTGTCTTGATCTCCAAGATCATCGAATATTTATCTCTTGTATAATTGCTTCCATTTAATCAGAAGAAACAATAAAATGAATAGATAAAAGTGTATCTCTCCCTGTTAACAAAAACTTGATATACATTATCAAATAAAGAAAAATTACAACAGAAACATACTACAAAGATTTCTTAGAAAAAAATGGAATTAAAAATAACTACTGTTTGTTGATTGTCTTTGATTTTATGAAGTTTGAGCAACCGTTAATCAATTGTCTTCAGTGAGTTGATATCTCTACGACAGACGTGGTTGAACTCCAGTGGTCACTGCTTCCCACTAAAACTCCAGCAAATATCTTTTGAAGTCAGTCACTAGTGAGCACATAACTATAGATCAGAAGGGGTTTTTGTGGAGATTTCAACTATGAAAGATTGTCTTTGACTGCTTGAAATTAACTCGTTCATACATTCAATAGACATATTGAACAAACATTCCTCACAAATGACTGATAACTGAATAATAATCACAGTCATGTTTTCCTAGTTCTATCATTGCACATCAAATTATATCAGTCAATTTGTAATATGGCCACTAGTATTGTAATGGAAGAGAACACCAGTGGGGAAAACTGAATGTATCTCAGTAAAATCTGAGAACCATATGGTAAATACTTCATCTACAAAATGTCAATCACTGGTCTCGTACTTCATTATTCCTTCGTTTTTTTGCCAATCATTCTCTGTTCTCGATCTCTTCTCTTCGACCTTCTGAACATCCTGCCACCAGACATTTCACTTTCGATTGATGATACATATTACTTATATCTGTCGAAATCAGCAGTACATACCACAGTACAAGTAACTAAAAATAGTGTGGATTGTTTTGATAATAAGCGGTTGTAGGTAGTCATCAGGGAACCCTACATGATCGTACTCTGAATGATCAACAAATGAACGAGGATTAGTTAGGTTTAATATCTAGTTATGAGAAACTTATCTTAAGAATAGTGACCAATCGTCACTCAGTCACTATATTCACAGTTTCAATGTATGAGAGATGAAAGAATTTGAAAATATTCATCTACACTAACTAAAATATTCAAATGGAGGAGTTATGATTGACTTTCTTCACTGAGTTTCCTATTGATTGCAAGCAACTACATGTTTTCAAGTGACTGTGCCATTATCTCGATATACGAGTGTGTTTCTTAACTTACACACATTATTTTATCCGAAAATGGAATGCTGAAACTCCATTCTACTGACTATTCGTTAGTATTTGTTTAGTCATACAGGTATTTGGACAATAGCACAAAGTGATCATCGTGTTTATGGAGTGCTATATTACTCATTGCCATTACATAATATCTTGTATGATTATTCAAAATTATCTCAGTATGCAATATTGCCTTCAGGACACTGTTCAAAGTCATTTAAGACATATAAACAGGGTAAATTCAGTAGGGTACACCCTCTTCTCTTATTCAAATACATCGCAATTAATCTTCCTATCCATTTCTATCATTGAGTTAACTTCCATGGAAGAGATTCTTGGTCAGGATCAATCTATAGGAGAGATCATATAAGTGTTTATATTCATTTACAAGTTAGTTTTCTATTTCCTTGTTAACATACAAGCTGTTGACCACAACGAAGATTACGTGTAGAAATCAATGTATAAAAGAATACAAATTTGTAGGTTAACTGGAGTGATTTGACAATTTGTCCAACATGACAATGCTACTCGGTAGTTTGTCTAGTTATGGACGATTTGCACTGGTATAGGTAAGCTTAGATGTTGAACAAGAGGTTGTAAGAGGCTAATACTATACTATTGTATCTCAAGTATTCAGTTGTCATTACTTCAGTCAATTATTATTGCCAATTAGTGAAAAATTCAGGACAATTTAATATATATTTCATAACAAAACTGACTGGTATTGGACTAGACTGAAATAATTTATAGACTTCATATCACAATCTGGATACAACAGTTCCACTTTCCGCTCCTAGATCTAGTTAATCCAAAACGAGAACTCGCATGACAATTTGTTGGTGTTTACCAATGAAGATTGTTTCAAGCAAATAGCAAAGCCGTAAAAAAGGCTTGAAAACATCACAAACATTATGGTTGCTGCACGAAAACAAAAAATTAAAAAACAAAAAGCTAGCATGTTTAATAGAGGTAAAAGTGGAGAACTGATCCAAACAACTCCCTATTTCAAAGATAACACAAACATGTTGAAACTATACCGAACACCTACATGCATCAGTACTTTTGACGGGAATACTACAACTGATCCACTACAATATTTTTAATCATCAAAAACGGAGACCGTTGTTTACTGACGTTATCACCAGTCACGTCATAAAACGCCTGTTATCGATTATACTGAGACACAATAAGAAATAGGTGGTTATATCAGTCAATTTGCCGTCAGTAGTCTGTAGATTAGTATTGTGTTCTAATGAACTCAGTGTGAATAGCCCAATAGCATTACTAAGCACCACAAAACCGTACAAAACGCAAAATCTAGCATATAAATGCATCCGAAACCCATTCTGTTCAATCATTGAGTAGTTTATTTCGGTTATTAGAAATCGCATCCGATGTAAAGTTTGAAATATGCTAGTGTTAACTAATTTGAATAAATCAGTGTCAGCCGTTGATCGGTTTACGGAGTAAATGTAGACCATGGACTGTCTATCAATGTGGAGGGAAGATCGGATTTATGACCGTTGTAAAATTTGCATAGTTGACATCACCAACCGGAATACCATTGAAAACTGTAAAGTACAGGCAGTTGTTCCAGCCTGATATGCGTCTATTCAGCAGTGTACAACAAGAACACCTCCATAAGCAATCGTATTTAGAACAACCAGTTTCATCTTTGAACACCTCAATTCTAGACCACTGAACCAGAATCCAACTGCGTATATGTTGAATTCCAATCAATTCGCGAAACTGAATGACCTCCTTCCACCGCCTTTGGTGGGTGATGATCTCTCAGACCACAAGATTAAACTTCATTGGACATGGCTCCTCATTTGAACTCCGAGAACTTCATCTCGAAGCTAATCACTAATGGACACAGGATTATTGCCAGTTAGAAGAAATTAGAGGAACTGATCTTACCTAGGTCAAGGATACTCACTGCCCATGAAATCTATAATAGAATGAGACAGTTGCTCAGTGATGCCTGGTTTCTAATTATGGTAGGGCTAGGATCAGTTCATAATTCGCAATGTAAACATTATCCTTGAAAGGTCAGATTATCCTGATTAATAATGTCCTGACACTAAAGTGCTTTATCCACTTATTGTATTCCTAATAAAGACAATTCTAGCATATTTTAACAGTCAGTCAGTCAGCTACAACGTAGGACCAGGCACATATATGCATCGGTCCAAGTTGCCATACCTCGTTAGCACAATAAGATGAACACTGGATTCATAGAAGTAATTAATTTAGTGGTGGTAGTAGTAATATTTTAACAGTACGATTATACCGCTCATTGACTGGGTATCAAAACATTGGAATTGAGTTTTATTATTTTACAGGTCACTAGTTGTGCGTGAAAGGACTCTTCAGTATGATAGTCTGTGTAAAATGTCACCTTTTTACTACTACTACTACCACTACTACTACGACTACGACTACTTTGTCTTCAAGATTGAATGTGTTACTTCATTGGATATGAGAGTTCTAACAGTTGTAATCCATGATGATGCATCAAAATGTCAGCTTAAATTTATTAACTACTCATGACACCTCTGTGAATAAGATGGAGGTGAGTCGATTACTGATTGAGTTGTCACGTACCTAGATCTATATCACACTATTAAATAGAGAGATATTTTCCTGTTAATATCAACCCATATACAGTCATAAACCACTTGATTGGTTGAAAATATTATCAGTTTGAAAAACTCTAATTCGCCACACTACGCCATTGTCAGTAACCTCGTCAGTAAGACTGAAAAAGATAAAGAAAGTAGAACAAATACGTGCACCTAACATTCACATGTTGAAAAAATGTATCTATGTCGTAGTATGTGACTCAAAACAATCTGTTTCAAACACAGATCAATATTGATAAATAATTGACTGTAGATAAGACTATCATGAAAAATGATATTATTATTCATATGAATAGATTGTGTCACATTTGAGTCTAACAATAACGAAAGATATCTAGTTGGTCAATACTATGAACAAGTTCAGGATTTCATAAACTATTAGCTGTAATAATTTTGATCAGTGCTTTCTTCTCCAACAAAGTTAGATAGCAGTTGGCTAACAGTGAGATCCATAACGCAAGTTCTAGCCTGTTTCACACTCGTCACCTAGATGTACCTCCACCTAAGTTGATACCCACGTCGAGACTGGAACTCAATTTACTTCGTTTCAAACACCCATCACGTTACCCACTGAGCTACTAATCCCCGATACATGCTGGCCTGTATAACGGGAGTGAATTTCAGTTAATTTGTAAGGATCGTGTTGAGTCTTCTCGTTGTTGATTTTGTGACCTGTAAGTAATCAGTGCCTCACAGCATATTACCATCCCGATTGGATTGGATTGATACTGTAATTCAAACAATCATCACAATTGAAAGAATGATGTCTTCGTTTAAAACATATTGGGTGACGACAAACATGAAAGATTTCTGATTCAACAGACCTTACACAATTAATTATCTTATTATTTCTCTGATCCCCGCTCCTACATCTTCACATTTATCAATCAAATTCAGTATTCCTCAACACTGCCAATCAACAATCCGATAAGCAGTAGTCAATTTTGTATAGTTTCAGTGAAATTTAGTAATCTCCATAACCTCATACCGAATATTCTGTGATTATCCTCATAAACAAATCATAATAAATACTGATATTATCTAAAGTGATTCTGTTACGGTTGTTATAAAACAGATACATCATAAGATCAATTCTTATGAATATTATGGATTGGAACAAATTGAAATCTTCACTACTTCATTTCACTTACGTT